CATGCATGTTGTCCACCTTTTCCACAAGAGTTTAAACATATTAACTATAGTTATTTCAAATTCCCTCTCTGATAATTCTAATAGATGTGTTATTTCTGAGTTTTTTTGTTTTCCTGTTGATTGTTTTGTTCTTTGACAGTGATTTTTGCTGCTGTTGCTGCTGCTGGTTCTTTGTGTGTCTCATAAATTTTGACAGTGTTGGTGTTTGTGCACAGGTGAATACAATACAGTTGGAAAAAGTTGTGCCTGTTGCTCTGCTAGGTCGTTAGGTCATTGATTCAGCATGTTGAGGACATGAACTGGATTTTGAACTGTAGTGAACTATTGACTTAAAATTTCTCAAGGTTTAACTTGTACTTAGGTGGCAACTGGAATGTTAGAGAGTTTCTTTTACCATTCCTAGTCCATCCTTAACTTTAGGTCTTTCCCATGTGCCTGTGCTTTAGGAGTCATCTCCCTACCCTTGCTCTCTCTCCAGCAGTAGCCTGGTGCTTGTTGTTGTAGCCCAGTCTCAGCCTGGCGGTCCTCTATCTCTGGATCTAAGCGGTGGGATCTAAGCAGGTGGAGCTGCCTCTCCTCTCTATGACATTCAAACTCTGCCTTATATTTTTGGTAGGTCTAGTGTGGGAGAGGGTTTCCTGTCCCTTGCTTAGTGGTAGGAGACTCATAATAGTATTGGTATAGGATCCTGGGATCAAGGATGTTTCCGGCCCTCCTCCAGGAGTGGAGGGTTTTTCTTCTGCCCTTTTCCCAACTGTACTGTATTCACCTGTGCACAACAGGGTTTGCTGCTATTGCCCCTGCAGTTGAAGACTTTTGTTCTGTTGGGGAGGTAGGTCCAAGTGGGGCTTTTCAACATTTACAGCAGTGGCAGTAGCTTTCCTCCTCTAAGCCTATGCCACTGAGAGAAGGGTTCCTTCCATTTCCTATCCTGTCTCCAGTCCTTCTTATGAGCACTTATGGAGGTCTGTTGAGTCTGTGAGGTGTGCACACTCTCTGTATCTATGGCTTTCTGGGGTTCTATATGCTCATACTAGGCTGAATTGCTCATTCAGCCTTTAGCAATATATTGGGCTTTTTCTTATCTGAATGCTTTCTGTATAGTATCTGGCATCTTGTTCACCCCTCAGCTGCCACAAGTGAGCCAGTGTGCCCTACACACACTGTGACCGCCACAAGTGACCTGTCTCTCCTTAGGAGGCTGTCTTTCCTTAGATTTCAGAATACTTCGTTGGCCTGTAACCACAGCTCTCTGATGGGTTCAAAATTTTTTTTATTTTGTTTTTTTCAACTTTTATATGTTGTTAGTATGTGAGTGATGCTCATACTACCTTTCTACATTTTAGGTAGAAGTGGAATTTTGAATATAAATGTATTTAAAAAATAAAAACAAGCATATTCCTTTGTAAACATGTCTTTTTAATGAATATATATTTACATTTCACTTTTTAAAAGCTAAATAATGTTCCATTGTATGACTACGTAATTATCTGTATAGTCGATCTCTTCTGGTTGGTCACCTAGGGTAGTTCTTTTAAAAACATTATAATGTACAGTGATATGATAAATATCCTTGGAACTCAATCTCTACTCTTGAGGGCTGTTCCTTTTGAGAAACAGCTTTTGACCAGCTACTGGGCCTTAGTAGAGACTGAACACTTAACCATGAGCCTGAAAGTTGGGCGTGCACAGCAGCATTCCATTATCAAATGGAAGTGGTGTATACAAGGTCGGGCTTGAGCAGGCTCTGAAGGTACAAATAAGTTATATGAAGTGGCTAAAATGCCCATGGTCCCCTCTCCTGCTACATTACCTCCTCTTTCTCAGCCTGTACCTGTGGCTTCATGACAAGTTGCCTATGATCAATTGACTGAAGAAGAGAAAACTGGGATCTGGTTTACAGGTGGTTCTGCACCATACGCAGGCACCACCTGGAAGTGGACAGCAGCTGCACTACAGTGCTGTTTTGGGGACATGCCTGAAGGACAGTACTGAAGGGAAATCTTCCCCATTGGTAGAACTTTGAGCAGTGCGCTTGGTTGTTCATTTTGCTTGGAAACAGAAATGGCCAGGGGTACAAATCTTTACTAATTCATGGCCTATAGTCAGTTGTTTAGCTGGATGGTCAAGGACTTGGAAGAAACATAACTGGAAAATTGGTCATAAGGAAATCTGGGAGAGAGAAATGTGTATAGATCTCTCTGAAAGGGCCAAAAACATGAATATATTTGTGTCCTTTGTGAATGCTCATCAAAGGGTGCTTTAAGAAGAGGTTTTAATAATCAGGTGGATAGGATGACCTATTCTGTAGATACTGGTCAGCCTCTTTCCCAGCCACTCCTGTCATTACCCAGTGGATTTATGAACAAAGTAGACATGCTGGCAGGAAAAGAAGCTGTGCATGGGCTCCTCCTCATCAACATGGAATTCCACTCACCAACGCTGGCCTTGCTATGGTCACTGCTGAGTGCCCAGTCTGCCAGCAGCAGAGACCAACACTGAGGCCCCAGTATGGCACCATTTCCCAGGGTGATCAGCCAGCTAGCTACTTGATGGCAGGTTGATTACATTGGACTGCTTCTGTCATAGAAAGAATGGTGCTTTTTTTCATACTAAAATAGACACTAGATATGGATTTGCTTTCCTTGCAACAAGCTTCTACCAGATCTACCATCTGGACCTGCAGGATGCCTTATCCACCATCATGGTAGTCCACACAGCCTTGCTTCTGATTAAGGAACTCACTTGGAGGCAGATTATTTGTGGCAGTGGGCTCATGATCATCTCTTACTGTCTCCTTTTTGAGGGGAACTTTTCTCCTGTGACTACTTGAGTTTTTTCTTTCTTGCTAAATACAGACATACCTGGTTTTATAGCCCTACACTTTATTGTACTTTGCAGATACTGTGTTTTTTACAAATTGAAAGTTTGTGGCAACCCTGTGTTGAGCACATTTTTCCAACAGCATTGCCTCACTTCATGTCTCTGTGTCACATTTTGGTAATTTTCGCAATATGTCAAACTTTTTCATTATGATTATGTTTGTTATAGTGATATGATCAGTGATCTTTGATGTTACTGTTGCAAAAAGATTACAGCTTGCTGCAGGCTCAGATGATGGTTAGCATTTTTTAGCAGTAAAGTATTTTTTAATTAAAATACGTATATTGTTTTATAGACATAATGTTATTGCACATTTAGTAGACTACAGTATAGTGTAAACATAACTTTTATACGCACTGGGGAACAAAAAAATTCATGTGACTCGCTTATTGCGATAGTACCTTTATTGTGGTGGTCCGGAACCAAACCCACTATATCTCTGAGGTATGCCTGTGTTCCATAGTTTGTTTCTGAAACTCCTTCCTTTTATATATTCCTTTTATATGCTCTGCATCCTTTAGTATTTTAATAATCATTGTCATTTTTTTCACTTTTTTTTTTTTTGAGTTCTGGGAAAATTCCTTAAGCTGGTTTTCTAAATCACTAATTTGTTTTTCTGTTCGCTTCTCATTTTAGGGATTTTAATTGAGTAATTGTGGTTTTTATTTGAAAGCAAGCTTTTATTACTTTAGATTGTTTCATTTTTACATGTTAAATCTCCCTTTTGAAAATAAAAAATTATTTTCTTCTGCAAAATGGTACATATTCACTATAAAAATTTAGATAATAGTCACTGCTAGCATTTTGATGAATACTTGCCAAGTTTTTTAATCAGATGTTTATATATGATATATATGTATACATACATATATATGATGAAAGATCTCACTTTAATGCTCTTTTACCTCCTTTATAATTTAATAATATAAAAATTTATGTCAAACAGATATACATCATTCTTTTAAATAATAAAATAATGTTTGCTGAAATTTCATTTAAAATACAAATAGGAGTTTTTAAAGTATTCTTCTCTCTTATAGAAAGGAAAACATTTGCTGTGATTTCTCAGAATGATTTACTTTTGTGAAGTGCTAGATATCTTTATATATCTAGTGATTGTTTTTTCTATTTATTCATATTTACAAGGAGAGATTTATGTTTGCTATTTTGGAATTTGAGAAAGATTCTGTCAGAAATTGTGTAAGCCCTCTTCAGTGATCTTGCTCATAGTGTTTTGGGGAGATAAGTGGGTCGCATGACCTTAAGTAATGGAGAGGAACTATTGGTGAGACCACTGCATGGCAGGGAAGGACCCTCCTTTTATTCTCTCTGTGGGAGCAGTGGTGGAACCAGAGCTCCAGATGTCTGTGTAAAGTGAAGAGAGTTCCTGGGCCAGTGGAGTTTATTAGTGAGCCAAGTAGTTGGATTTTCCCCTCTCATATTTGTTATAATAGTCCATGTTGGACGAGTCCCATGTTACTTGGAGCAAATCCCCTTTGTAGCATCCTTTTGCCACAATACCTTTGATTAGCATGCCACTTCACCACGTGAAGGCTGGGAATGGACATAAAATATGGCTGCCTTGTGTGGGGGGCATTGGTAGAATTACAGTAATCCTGGGATTTGTATCTGCTCAAGTACCCCAATCTTTTTTTTTTTTTTTTCTCCCTCCTGGCTCTGCTGCTCTGGGCTTGCAGGTTTTCTGGATTTGTAGGAGAATGTCATTCATTCACTTGCCCCCTCAGAGGCCTCCTCCTTTGCTGTGTTCAGTCACAGGCTAGGAGGTACCTCCCTTGGCCTATTCCTGCCTGTGCCATATGTAACAGAAATCTCTCAAAATGTCTGGATACCGATGGCATCCTTCTCTGTTCAGAAACTGACTTTTCAAAAAGCTACCTTAACCTAATTGTATATTTCTTAGGTCATGCCAGTAGGTTTTGGGGAGGGAAAAATTTAAATTCATGGACTGAAATAACCCTTTGAAAAGAAATTCCTATGCCACCTTCTCTGTTGGTCAAAGAGATAAATGGATTTACCTGTGTGAAAGGGTTTCATGAAATCTGGGTGTATTGCATCTCCTGCTATTCCTTTGTCTACCCTATGTTTCTGTGTTTGTAATAGATGATTCAACATGTGTTACTCTTGGAGAAAACAAGGACTACATCAATGTTAGTTATATTAAAATAGTCAATTCTGGAGAAGTATTATTATATTGCTACCCAGGGACCACTGCCAACTACCACAAATGACTTTTGGCAAATGGTTTTGGAAAATAATGTTATTGTCATGATAACCAGAGAGGTAGAAGGTGGAGTTATCAAATGCCACCATCACTGGCCCATTTCTATGAAGAAACCTTTGGAACTGAAAAATTGTCATATCTTCCTGGAGAACTACCAGATACTTCAATATTTCATCATTCGAATATTTCAAGTTGTCAAGAAGTCTGTAAGTTAAAAAAAATCAGTGTTAGATATATATTTCATTATATAAGCACACGTGTCAGGATGAGAAGTTAGGAGTAAGATGGGACATAGCTGGGGATACTTTTAAAGTAACTTGTTTTTACTTCTCCCGGGTACCAGAAACTAAGACAACACCACCTCTACTTCTGCCTAACCAAACTCTGACTGGAGAGGCGAAAAAATTGAAAAGGTGAGTTGGGGCGGTTGAGAGTGAGTGTTGGAAGTTGCCTAATCCTGGGATGTACTTCGGCTGCTTCTGCTGAGAGTGACAGATATGTATGGAGTCCTTAAGATAACCTGATAATCGCTGTGCCAGGCACTGTTGCTCCTTACTGAGTAGCAAAGAGTTCAGTGCGCTTACTGGTACCTCCAGTTACTGTGCTCAATGAATGTGGTAATATTGAGATTTGTATGGGATGCTTTGGGAGCTCAGAAGGAAAGTACTTAGCTCTCCTTGGGCTTGGGGGGAAGATTTGCTAGAGGAGGTGACATCTGGATTGAGAATAACCCAAATGAGAAAGATGGAAAGAGGAAGTAGATGATCGAGGTATAAAATAGCATGGGATACGTATAGAGAGGTACAAGTAGTTAAGTGTTTCTGGAATGTAAAAGTTCAATGCCAGGGAGTAATGAGAGGTGAGATGAGGCTATGGAAAATAAGTAGAGAAAGCCAGAACATGAAATGTCTTGGATTTCAGCTAAGGAACATGAACTTCGTTATGAAGATAATTGGGAGACACTGAACAATTTTAGTAAGAAGCGTCCATGATCAACTAGGGCAGTTAACAATTAGATAGAAAGCAAAGTCTGGTGTTTTTCAGATAAAATTGAAAGACTTTATGTGACTTATGACTTGTGACTTAAAAGGAGCGTTCAAAAATTATGCTGTCAAATGCGATAGCCACATTTGGCTATTTTATATTTAAATTATTTAAACTTACATAAAATAACAAATTCAGTTTCTCATTTGTAGTATCCACACTTCTAGTATTTAATCACATGTTACTAGTGGCTACCATATAGGCAGCAAAGATATAGAGCATCTGCATCATTGTAGAAAGTTCTATTGGGAAGTATTGGTCTAGAATAATTCATAGAATAATTCATTTCTTGCTCTAAGAGACTCAGAAAATAGAAAAGGAATGATTTATAGGAGAAAGTGATGTTACATTGCTCTAAGTGGATTTGATTAGCAGGTAGGTGATACATGTGTTCTATAGGAGTGAAGGGGATGGGAGTTAAACCGGAAACTTGAAAAGAGTGATGAGATTTGGAGTCATCATCAAAGAAGTTGATTGGAGCACAGACAATGATTAGGAAAAGTGTTGCTGGAGGTGCTGAGGTTGGAACTCATAATTTGCAATAACAATAAAATATGCAACTATGTGATTAATTTTTTCCTAACCATGGGATTCCTGAACACAGGTTATGAGACTTACCCAGGGAGGGATGTTGCTTAGTATATGTGGCAGGATTCAAAGGATGAAAGGAGTTGACAGTTTGGTAAGAGAATGATTTAGATAATCAGCCATGAAGTCTAAATTTAGGGAGATGGATGGAATCAGGGGCAAGGAGGAAATGGAGGACAACAAGGACAGGAGAGCTTCCTTTAGTCACATTGTTGGAGTTGAAGTGAAGCACAAATGAGGTGGTAGCATAACAGCTTCTGCTCAGAAAATGATGTTGGAATCTAAGAACTGGAAGATTTTTGATACTGGACATTATAGGTGATGGTGAGTCCAAGGAGTGATCACATTGTGAGGACCAGAAGAAAGAAATGGTCTCCTCTGCAAGAGAGAAATAAAAATGTGAGGTTAGAGTGTCTGTTTGGCTGTTGAGATCCCAAATTGGCCTGGTCAGAATCTGTGGTAGGGTGATAGCAATGAGAAGGTGAAGCTAAGAGGTATGAAACTCAAAAGGAAGAGAGGTTTTTGTACAAAGAGAAGGAATAATGAATGGAAATAGCATTGGGCAGCAAGCGGTATGCAACCTAACCTCTAGGCTCTGTGGTACCTGGAGTACAGGAAAATAGGTGGCCTTGATCAGAGAGGGCTGCAGAGTGCAGTGCCCATGGGAGGTAAGGCCAGGAAGTGAAAGAAGCATTTAGGGAAGTGATGATGGTTTCCACGAGTTTACTGTGGCATGGGGGCCTGAGTGCAAAGGGAGATGTTGAAGGGCTAGAGAAGTGGGAAGGGAGGGGAAAAGATAGAATTGAAGAGCATGAGGATCAGAGCATAGAGTGGTGACAAAGGAGGCCAAGAATAGTAATAATGGCTGACATTTATGGAGAGCTTGCTGGCTGTGTGCTAGGCCCTGCTTTTGCTCTGTACACCTGGGGATTTGCCTGATCCTTCACTCTCCTAAGACTTGTTGATTACCTCCTACTAACCAAGTATTTTGCCAGATGCTGGAGATAGAAAACAGAAACAGCCTCACCTCTTAGAGTGCTTACAGTCTAGTGGGGAAGGAAAACACCAGTTCCAAATAACATGTGATACTTGCTATGGCAGGAGAAGGACAGCATGCTTGGAGAATACAGGCCAGGTGGGAGGCCCAGAGGAATGATCTGTCTGCAAGGGTTCAAATGCTCGGTTCCACCTGTGCACCCTTGACAAGGGCGTCTAGGATGGTGGCCTTTGGGCTGAGGCCTGCAAGCCTCAAGACCATGGGGTTGATGTTTGGAGAATCTGCATCATGGCACTGTGTCAGGAAACCAGTGAGGCCCACCTTCGTGCAGTTTCTCAGTGGTCAACAGTGCATGAAAGATTTCATCCCTAAAATATGTGATGGAGTGAGAGCTATCCTCAATTTGGTGCCTTCACAAGACTTTCAAGTGTCGTTTTCCTCATCCAATTTCATGTACCAATGATTCAAAATTGAAGTTTTCTATTTGGAGCTTAGGAAAATTGTATTTCTATTTGGAACGTGGAAAAAAGTGGTACATTAGGGAGAAGCAAAGGAGCAGTGAGAAACCCTTCCTGAGTTTTTTCACGAGGGTGCCCAGTGAAGTAAAATGAGGGCTCCACGTTGGGGAAAGGGTGAACCCTCTGGAAAGGATGATCGGTAAACTCAAAGTGCTTTATCTGTCAACCCTGAGGAGAGTTCCATGGCTCCACTTTCAGGGGGTTCAGCACAAGAGTGGGGACCAGAGTCTACTCACATGGTCATTACCTGCCCTATTTCTCATCACCGGAGGAGGTTGCCCCCCACCAAATCCCGGTTAAGCAGCTTGACAGCACTTACTGTTTTAATTAAATTTGGTATCATAATATTTAAGCCAAGATAGATTGCTTTTCTATCTTATTCCTAACATGTTAGCTCATCTCTCATCCTAAGTGTTTTGGATTCTTGGTTTGTTTGGACTCTTCTACCTTCTCATGGTGCAGAAGAAAGATGGTACAGTTAGATTTGGGAGGACTACGTTATTGCCCCAGCTCTAAACATATGAGCCCTCTGACCTAGCATACGTCTGTCAGTCAATCAAACGCTTACTTTTCATCTGTAAACTGAGGATATCACAGTGCTTGCCTCCCCAGGGTTGATGTGAGGATTAAATGAGATAATGCGTGTGAAGTCCTTAGCACAGTACCTGGCACAGAGTAAGGGCTAAATTCCTGTCACCTGTTAGTATTTTTATTTTTATTATCCTATTACCATATAGCCATTATTATTACTATTTCTGGCATATTAGAAATTAAAAGAAGATCTCTACTATAAGACGTTGATAAATCTCTCCTCTCTCTCTGCCTTCCTCTCCCTCCCTCCCTCCTTCTCTCTCTCCCTCTCTCCCACCCTCTCTCCCTTTCTCCCTCTCTCCCTCCCCACCCCACCCCCACAGACAGGAGCTAGTCACTTTGTAAAACACTTGCAGTTCACCAAGTGGCCAGACCATGGCACTCCTGCCTCAGCAGAAGGTTTTATAAAGTATGTTCGTTATGTGAGGAAGAGCCACGTTACGGGACCCGTCATTGTTCGCTGCAGTGCTGGCGTGGTCCAGACAGGGCTGTTCCTATGTGTGGATGTTGTGTTCTGTGCCACTGAAAAGAACTTTTCAGTAAGTGTGTGAATTAAGCAGATAAACTGATGCTGTTAGTAAACACTGTACTTTTAACAGCCTTCTAATAACTGAAGACTAATATTTGGCCTTCAAGAGCAACCGAGTAAATAGAGAGCCTGTGAGCTTTGTGAGCCTGCTTCTCACTTAACTGCTGCAGGTTCTTCGAGGTGGTTGTGAGAATTAAAGTACGCAGTGCAGATGAATGGCTTCGGACAGTGTCTGGAGCGTGGTAGGTGCATCGTAAACATGAGTTCATCTTCCTTTTCTTTCCCTCCACCCACACGTACAGTTTTTAGAATTTTGTTAGAGAATGTTGATGATGTGTGCCTGTTTTTAATGAACAGAAATACATGCATGTGAGCACATTGGGAAAAAAAAGTAGACTTCAGAGTTAATGAGAGGTCCCTGGGTTTGACTGCCAATTTTGCCACACATTTTAGATTTTGGTGACTTTCTGCAAATTGCTCATCTTCTCTGAAACCTAGTTTTCTCATATGTAAAATAAAGATAATAATATTTTTGGGTTTGAGTCAACCATTAACAATTCTTTATTTTCCTCCTAAATTTGGAACTAGCCAAGGGATAAACACAAGAATTAGACATATGGTGATTCTACTATGATCTTTATTACTGATTAATTAGGGAATGTGACTTTAGATCTGTGCCCCAAAAGGCCTACTTTTACTGAACTGCTTTCCTGTGCTGCAGAAGTGAGGAGGGGAAGACATTAGTTAGCAGGCACTGCGGGGTCGGTGGGGAAAGCAGCTCTCACCACGTCGACAAGGAATATGAAAATCCACACCTCGGTCATAAGACAACAGGGGCTACGAGGCATTTGTCCTGGTAGGCAAATTTTGCAGAGTTGTTATCAGAACAAATGTTAAATCTCTGCTCTCTTAGGCTTTATGTAGTTACACCCCAAGAGTGATAAACTCTCCCTTGTGATAGCAAATTGGCTGCATGGGTTCTACAATTCTCCATTCTAAGGTAGTATTACGTCGGAGGTAGAAAAATGTCCTCTCCCAGAAACTCCCTGGAGGACAGGGGGAGTTTATTTTTCTCAGAAGCTTGAGCCAATATCTCCTAGCATTTCACTGTTTCCGCTTCAGTTATAGCCCTTTCCCTAAACTGATCACTATGGGAGATGCTGGTCCATCAAGGTCTGTCAGGACTACTCCAGGCCATACAGCTGAGAATGAGAGAGGAATGGTTTTCCAAAGCAAACTGAGAGTTTTGTTTTGTTTTTTTTTTAATAAAGAATGAATATAAACTGGGTGGTAAAAAAATGACAAATGTCCCCAAAATGCTGAAAATTTAAGTAGTATGAATCTGATGTTACCTGTTCCTATAATTAATGTTGTTTTATCCTTTTAACAGAAAACGCATTAGCATAGTTTTTATTTTATATATTCTTCATCATAATTAATTTGTTTATATTTGTTCTTATTTTATATTCCTTATAGAAACCATAAAAACTATAAATATTGTATTTTGTGATTCTGAGGAGCACTTTTTTTGCCCCATCATTATACCTTCTTTAAACTCAAAATGTGTTTTATAATAAGTCATCTGTCAGCTTAATTGACAGTGTTTTTCTTAGCATTATGTAAAATAGTGATGTATTTTACAATTAAGGATGCTTAGATTTGATGGAAAATAGTGGTTCAAAACAAGGAAATGCATCCATTGTGGCCTTATTGGCTTTTCATAGAGCCTTGAGCTGTCAAGTGTTCTTACTTATGCCCCTCTCTACTCTTTTCAGAAATTTTGTCCACCAGAGCTACTTAAAGTATGGTCTTGGACCAGCAACAGTCTGTGTTATTTGCAGCAAGATAAGTTTTCTGAAACTGAGAGTACGCATTTAGAAACTTTCAAAGCAGTTTGATATATTGCTGTGACATCCAAGAGCATGACAGTGGGTTGGCCTTGGTGAACTGGATGTAGACCAGTTTGTGTGTTGTGGAAATCACACAGGGAGTCTTACATGCTGCAAGCTGTATACCAGTCATGTGTGGCTAACATTTTAAGATGAGTTTATCAATTATAACTCTAAAGGATATGAAAATCTGAGAATATGTAACCATTTATTTCTTTTTATTGTTACTTTATAGTCATTTTTATTTTTAAGTAAACCTGCTTAAAACATTGGGAACAAACTGGCTCTTCCTTTGCCAACACTGGTATTGCTCTGTGGTTGAAACATTCTCGATAGAACTTTCTCCTCTAACCATCTTCAACATGCAATAATAGTTGTTAATTATCAGTTACCATATTATCACATAATGAAGTGAGTAATCCAAAATTTAACACATTAACCTTTACGAAATCAAAAATTCTTACCACATCACTAAACACACTGTCCAGTTCATCTGGCAGGGTTCCTTTTTTTTTTTTTTTTTTTTTTTGGTAGCAAGACTTTCCTGATGAAGCAGTGTGTTGGTTTATCTTTTGGGATAAATTCTTTAATCTGTATAACTACCTCAGACTTGTTTTGTTGTCATTGCAGCTCTACTACCAGAACATAATCCTACACAAAACTTACAAATTACATTTGATGACAATGTAGTACTTTGCATTTTTATGCAGTTTAAGACTAGTTAGTTGTGTTTATCAGTAATCAAACTGAGAACAGGAAGAATTCTTCCTTCTTATCACATCATTTTCAAATCACACATATACTGAATCACTATGTTAGCAATAGCTGTGCAGTCAGTAAGTTGCAATGGTAAATACTTTGCTACTTTTGTTTTGTGAGTTGGTACCACTTCGCATCACTAACCAGTCCCTGAATTCTTCAAGCTGCGGCTTCATTAGAAAATGGTACTTTAACTCTCTTTTTTTGCCATACCTTCAGCCCAGATTTTCAATAAAGCACCTTCAGTACAGTCTGTCACCATTATCTGGCAATCGTGTAAGGGTTTTTAGTCTTAGCAATTCAAAGTGCTGTTTTGTAAGTCTGCAGAGTATTAATGTTACATATGAAATGTTGAACATGAGCTCTTTATTTTAGTATTTTTTAAAATAATTCTTTTGTTTTGGAACTTATTGCTTTTGTTCTGTAAGTGACAAGTACATTTTAATGGGTTTTTTGCTTTGTTAGCAAGTACATCTTTGCAATTAATACAAGTGTGGTTTTAGCAATTCACAGTTAATAATGGCTATAAAACTCAATGTATGAGGAATCATAATGCTAGGTAAAATTAACATGAACTCTTTTGGTCTTCATTTCTTTGTAGTTACTTACACTGTTATCATTTGGTTAACCACTACAGCTATATTCAGAAAAGCTGTGCCTTTTCTTGTCAAGACAATGCAGTGCAGCAGCTTTTGCCATCAGTAAATTAAGGTTAAAAATGAATAATACAAATATATTTTCATAATTTGCCTAATCTTAAATTACAAATTAACAGACTTTCAAGAAACAATGGTTTTTAAATTCATTGAAGTTCCATTTTATCAATACTTCCTTTTATGGATCATGCTTTTGGTGTCAAGTTTAAAAACTCCTCACCTAGCCTAAAGAATTTTTAGGTCATAAAGAATTTTTCCTATGTCCTTTTCTAAAGTTCTGTAGTTTTATGTTTTACATTTAAGTCCATAGTCCATTTTGAGTTAATTTTTTTATAAGGTGCAAGGTTTAAGTCAAGGTTCACTTGCTATTCTTCCTCCACTGAATTGTTTTTACACGTTTGTCAGAAATCATTGGGAATATTTGTATGGGGCCTATTTCTAGTTCTATATTCTGTTTCATTGATCTATGTGTCTATCCTTTCGCCATTACCACACTTTGGATTCCTGTAGCCATGTAGGAAGTCTTAATGTCAGGGAGAGTGATTCCTTCTCTTGCAAAATTGTTTTAACCATTATAGGTCTGTGCCTTTCCATATAAATTTTAAAATTAGCTTGTCTATGTTTACAGAAAAGCTTGCGGGATTTTGATAGGATGATTGACATTTTTACTATGTTGGATCTTCCAATATGAATGTGGTATGTCTCAATTTATTTAGGTCTTCTTTGATTTCTTTCATCAGCATTTTGTCATTTTCAGCATATAGCTTATACGTGTTTTGTTGGATTTATTTTATTTCATTTTCTTTGAAGCAGTTGTAAATGGTATTGTGTTTTTACTACCATGTTCGTTGTGTGTACACATATGTACAAATAAGTTGATTTTTGTGTTTTTAAAAAATATTTATTTATTTATTTGGTTGTGCGGGGTCCTAGTTACGGCACGTGGGCTCCTTAGTTGTGGCAGGCGGGCTCCTTAGTTGTGGCATGTGAACTCTTAGTTGCAGGATGCATGTGGGATCTAGTTCCCTAACCAGGAATTGAACCTGGGCCCCCTGCATTGGGAGCATGGAGTCTTAACCACTGTGCCACCAGGGAAGTCCCCAAATGCAGTTGATTTTTGCATGTCAATCTTGTATCCTACGATCTTGTTGAACTCACTTATTAGTTCTAAGAGGTTTTTTTGTCCTGTTTTGTTTTGTTTTCAGATTCCTTGGGAGTTTCTGCATAGACAATCATTCCATCTGCAAGTAGGGACACACTTACCTCTTCCTTTCCAATTCATTTGCCTCATATTTCTTTTTTCTGGTCTTATTGCGCTACCTGGAACTTCAAGTGTGTTGAAAACAGGTGGTGAAAGCAGACATTCTTGCCATCACTAATATTAGGGGGAAAGCAAATTAAAATGATTTGTTCTATGAAAGATGCTATGAAGTGGATGAAAAGACAAGCTACAGACTTGGAGAAACTGTTTGCAATCCGCATATCCAACAAAGGTCTCACATCTAGAGTATATAAAGAACCCTCAAAACTCAATAGTAAAATAAATAAATAGGCAAGTAATTCAGTTAGAAAATGGGTAAAAGACATGACATTTCAACAGTGAGGATGTATTGATGATAAATAAGCACATGAAAAGATTCTCAGCTTCATTAACCTTTAGGGAAATGAAATTAAAACCATGACATTCAGCTGCATGAGCTGCTTGTAAATTTTGGAGATTAATCATTTGTCAGTTGCTTCATTTGCAAATATTTTCTCCCATTCTGAGGGCTGTCTTTTCGTCTTGTTTATGCTTTCCTTTGCTGTGCAAAGGCTTTGAAGTTTCATTAGGTCCCATTTGTTTATTTTTGTTTTTATTTCCATTTCTCTAGGAGGTGGGTCAAAAAGGATCTTGCTGTGATTTCTGTCATAGAGCGTTCTGCCTATGTTTTCCTCTAAGAGTTTGATAGTGTCTGGCCTTACATTTAGGTCTTTAATCCATTTTGAGTTTATTTTTGTGTATGGTGTTAGGGAGTGTTCTAATTTCATTCTTTTACATGTACCTGTCCCGTTTTCCCAGCACCACTTACTGTCTTTTCTCCACTGTATATTCTTGCCTCCTTTATCAAAGATAAGGTGACCATATGTGCGTGGGTTTATATCTGGGCTTTCTCTCCTGTTTCATTGACCTATATTTCTGTTTTTGTGCCAGTACCATACTGTCTTGATTACTGTAGCTCTGTAGTATAGTCTGAAGTCAGGGAGCCTGATTCCTCCAGCTCCTTTTTCTTTCTCAAGATTGCTTTGGCTATTCGGGGTCTTTTGTGACAAAGGATTAATCCCCAAAATTTACAAGCCGCTCATGCAGCTCAATATCAAAAAAACAAACAACTCAATCCAAAAATGGGCAGAAGACTTAAATAGACATTTCTCCAAAGAAGATATACAGATTGCCAACAAACACATGAAAGAATGCTCAACATCATTAATCATTAGAGAAATGCAAATCAAAACTACAATGAGGGGCTTCCCTGGTGACGCAGTTGTTGGGAGTCCGCCTGCCGATGCAGGGGACACGGGTTCGTGCCC